GGTTAGACCGTGGTTATGCAACTCAGGCCAAAGCTTGGTTGGTTTCCAATAAGGGCAGTGAGCCCAAAGGGCTGTGTGCCTTGTCTAGGTGTCAATACAACACCATTTCCTTACACGGCTAGGCTTCAGGCTAGCGCGGTGGTCTAACATGGTGTCACGGTGGTGCGGCAAATCCCAGTTTTGTTTATTTTCTTTTTTCTTTTTTCTTTTTGGTAGATTTTAGGGTTTGGAAAAACCCAAAATTTTGCTTCTAATTTATTTCGATGCTTTGACTCATAAATTCCACATAGCAAAAATTGCGTAATGCATGAAACGTGTGTGTGTGTGTGTGTTGTATATGTTTCATATATTTGTCTATATATATATATATATATATATATATATATATATATATATATCGAAGGGTAAAAATAAATGTAGGGGGTTCATGCATCATGGGGAATGTTTTCATGCTTCATTGTCGTTTCAAATATCTTTCTTTATTTTAAGCGTACCTGATTGGTAGGAAACAGCAAAAGCCTTTGAATTTGTAGAAGATCATTATCTGAAAGCTGGAATTGCATCTCCAATGTGTTATATCACGTTCAACAAAGAAAAATTAAATTGAATCAATAGCATGTAGATCAATTCAATAAAATAATAAATTAATCATAAAAATAATTATTAAAATGTAATACTTCCCTGATTGAAGATCAAACTCTCTTTAGCATAGCGTCAAGAGCGTGCTGATAACGTGTTTTAGGCATAATTTACTGAACAATTATGGAGGCCAAAGAGATAGGGAGGTGCGGCACATAGAGAGAGAAGAGAGAGCAGAGAGATGTGTAATTGTGAGGTGTGTTTTATTCCACCCCAATGTGCATTTATTTATAGTAGTAGGGAACATTAAATCCTTACCCTAATAGGATTACAACTCTAATAGGATAATATCTAGTCTAAGAGATATGGTAGAATCCCATAAGGATATCCCACATATGATAGGATTTACACAATCACATTCCTAATCCAATAAGACTGCAACATGATCTAGTTTCTTCTTTTTATGCGACTAAGTGGGAATAAGGCTTCAAGTTGCCGCTCAATGAACCCTAATTATCGAATTGTTAATTGTTCCCACTACTATAGTATCTACTTTAAAACTTTTTAGAAGTAAGGTATCGTTATAAATTTAACATTTTTTTTAGTAGAGCGATTAGAGCTAGTGGGTTAAATAGTTAGATGTTAGGAAGAATGGGAATAGGTGGGAAAAAGGTGGAGATCGAACTCGTACCAAATGTGGGGAAAAGGTGGGGATGAAACTCGTACCAATGTGCATATGTATAATTAGTATAGTAATGTGTACTAATTTACTAAATACTATATTAGTCAACTAAACACTATATATGTGAATATTTAAAAAATCGGGAAATACCCAAAAATAGGACAGTTTCTTAATCTTGATAAAGAAATAGGACATTTCAAATATGAACACACCATGCACAAAAATAGGACAGAAATAGGATTTTCCTACACCTTTAAATGACTTAATTGCCCTTCAATATAAATGGGTTATTTGCTCCCATTTTTTTATTTCTCTCTCTCTCCCCCTCCTTCTCTCTCTCTCCATCCCTCTCTTTCTTCTCTCACTTTCTCCCTCATGCACTCTTTCTCCCCTTCTCACTGTGCACACACGGTGCACTGTCATCCCGACCAACAACATCTAAATCGAAGTCACCACCAATTTCATCTAATCCTCACGAGTACAAAACACCTAACCTTGTCACGAATCTCATCCCTAATCGTTGGGATCGAAACTCAAGCATGTCGTGAGTTTTTCGGCCATTTTCTAGCAACATGGCAAACAACCGAGGCTCGAGACCACCACCACTGGACTCGCATCGAGGGTGGGAACAAAGCCCAGTCATTAAATGTTTGTGTTTTGTTTGATGAATTTTTCAAGATTTGTCCATTGTATATACACGGCATGCACATGATATGCTCATAGATCTGAGCCAATCCAAAAACTTAGATGAATTAATACTTAGAAGTTAAATTAGGGTTTGTGTTTCATGTTGGGGCCTATGCGTTGTGGAATAAATTTCAAGTTTTGACGTGCTACAAAACTAGGATGGAACAATTTATGGTTCAAGTGTCCAATTGCAGAAATTTGTGAAAATTTTTTTGTAATGTGCATGTGGTGTGCATATGGTGTGCATGGCTACATCTTAATATTAGAAGCAAGAATGTTAACTAGTTATGATGCACGTATGTTGTGCCCCAGAATTTAGACCACAACCTAGTTGGCCTCGGTGAAAAAAAAAATTAAGAAAAAGCTTTGATGATGTTAACGATCATGCATGTCCATGAAATAACGACAGCGAGTATCATGTTTTCCACGTGCACGGTTAAGCGGTGATTGATATACGTAAAAGACTTTTCAAACTACCACTGTAACCTTATATACATAAAAATTATGTTTTAATTGTATCCATTATACCAAAAGATTGTCGTTAAAGTTTCTTATTAATGCCAAAAACAACTCATTGCTCAATCTCTAGTTCTGTGCATATCATGTGCATGTAATGTACATATGATGTGCATGTGGTGTGCATATAGTGTATATGGTGGTGACATCTTAGGTGATGACATCATTTTTCTAATTTCAAAAAGAGAGCTGTGAGCTCTGGGTTTTTTGAGTTGGAATATTATTATGAAATTAGCGATGCACACCACATGCACATTACGGAAAAAAGTTCACAAATTTCTGCAATTTGACACTTGAACCAAAAATTGTTCCATCCCAGTTTTTGTAGCACAACGAAACTTGAAATTTATTCCACAACCCATAGCAGTCGCGGAGCCAGGATTTCGGGTTCGGAGGGACCTCTCACAAATATTAAAAAAAAAAAATTAAATCAATAATAGTTACAAAACTGTTGACCAAAACATCATAGTATATATATGAAAAGTAACCAAAATTCAAAATAACATAGCATTGATAATATTACATATTCCCAATAATTAAAATAATTGTCCTCGACGAGTTTTCATATTTTGAAACCGTTGCATAGTGTGTGTGCGAGTTTTCATATTTTGAAACCGTTGCATAATGTGTGTGTGTGTGTGTGTGTGTGTGTGTGTGTGTGTCTACATATATATATATATATATATATATATATATATATATATATATATTAATTTTACAAACTAAAACAAATTAGGCAATAGTTAAGAGAAATTGTAAGACATCAATTTAATCATAATTTATAAACAAAAAATTATAAGAGAAATTGAGATTAAAATACGTACTTTGGGTTGTTGACCAATTAACTAAACTTCAATGTCTTTTCTTTGATGGAATGATGGAATAATGGAATTCTTTAATATGCAAAAAAATATTATTTGTTAAATTAATATACAATTGTAGATTGTCATGAATTAGCAAATTGCAAAAAAATTGAAAATGACAACTTTGGGGATTCGAAGTTCATACGCTTGAGGATCATGGAAATTGAAGACTAATCGAAAAGCAATACACAGACATCAACCCTAACCCAGACTGACAAACTGCAATCGGCTAGAAACTTGGAGAATAATAAAATACTAATTTCTAGTATTGGGAAAAGGAATAGAAGTGTTGGAAGTTGGAATAGGTAAGCTTTAGGGTTAGACTATATTACATAAATATCCTTAAAATATTTAAAGAGGGTCAAATCTTTTGTCTAGGAAATTGGAATGGTTTAAGTGAAAAAGTCATGGAAAAATGATAAAAATAATAAATAAATAAATAAAATAAGTAGTACTAATTTTTTTTTATAAACAAAAGCAGGGTGGACTTATGACTGTTGTGATCCTATGGTCCCTCCGCCCCTAACCCATAGGCCCTAACATGAAACACAAACCCTAATTTAACTTCTAAGTATTAATTCATCTGGAGTTTTGGGTTGGCTCAAATCTGTGAGCATACCATGTGCATGTTGTGTACATACAGTGGGCAAATCTTGAAAAATTCATCCCACAAAACACCAACATTTAATGACTGGGCTTTGTTCCCACACTCGATACAAATCCAGTGGTGGTAGTCTCGAGCCTTAATTGTTTGCCGTGTTGCCGAAAAAGGGTCGGCAAACTCGCAGCCTACTTGAATTTTGATCCCAACGATTGAGGATTTGAATTTTGATCCCAACGATCGGGGATGAGATTCGTGACAAGGCTGGGTGTTTTGGAAAATTGGTGGTGGCTTCGATTTGGATGGTGTTGGTCGAGATGACAGTGCACTGTGTGTGCACAATGAGAAGGGAAGAGAGAGTGCGTGAGGAAGAAAGTGAGAGAAGAGAGAGGGAAGGAGAGAGAGTAGAGAGAGGGAAAAATAAAATAAAAATGGGAGCAAATAATCCATTTATAAGTGGCTATTTTAGTAATTTCGGCTTTGTGCATGGGGTGTGCACAGCCGGTTTGTCCTATTTTTGTCCCAAGATTAAGAAATTGTCCCATTTTTGGGTATTTCCCTAAAAAATTTGATATGTTAGCCAACGCTTAAGCCTAAAACCTATCACGATAGTGCAAAGTTTTGTACATAATTGGACCAATTTACTATAAGCAATAGCTCGAAACAACTTGAGCTCAGTATCTAGCTCGAATTTTTTAAGTGAGCTCGAGCTCAGCTCGTGTAAAAACTAAACCAAACCTAACTCGAGCTTGGAAAAAATTAAACAAACCAAACTTGTGCACAATGATATTCAGTTCGGTTCAACTCGTTCAAAGCCCTACATGGGAGTATAACATTGGCATGAGATGTCATAGAGATGATGTACACGTGTCATGGAAGTCCTTTGCTTTCAACTTGTTGAAAATTACATGAGAGTTTAGACACGTGGAATTTGTTATAAAGATTTATAACTTTCAACTTGAGTATAATGCAAGAACCCCCAACACATGTTACGAGTACAAAGGCAAAACGCAACTTTTTTCAGTTCAGAGTTCAGGCAATATCACAACAATAAATCTGGAATAACCCACACAAGTCACAACCAAATTTGACATTTCTGTATAAAATTCTGCAGCAAGGGTTTACATGTGACAATTGAAGCATTAGTACAAAGAGAGCGTATTTGATACAAAGTTTGAAGTCCTCTGAATAATTTGCATTTCCATCGAATATATTTTCATCAAAACCATGGAGCTCCTTTCTTAACCTATTTGCTTCTCATAATCAATTTTACGAGATCGGTTAGTTGCATCTACATGAACTTCATAGTGAATTCACTCCTTCGAGATAAGGCAATCTTGAGGGTCAAATTCTTCATAACCCACATCAACAAGACATAAACCATCAGGGGGTGCCGGTGGAGCAGTGGCACGTCTGCATGTAGCATCCATCAACTTTAGCAATGCATCCTCATCTGCACCTGCAGCTGCTTCCCTTATTGCAGTTGCCACAAGAACCCGAACCATCTGCAAAAATAGGTAACCAAATTTTTTTATTTGTTAATTTTGGCAACAAAGTACTCATAGAAGTTACCATCAATACAATATTAAAGAGATCATTAGAGCACCAGCAGAATTAGCAAAATATGGCAATGATGTCAAGTTGACTATAAAGGAAGCCCAAGGACATCACTGTTGCTAATATTGCAAGACTTACAGCCCATTAACCAGACAAGGCACTAGTTCAAAATAATAAATACAAAAGCATTGTGCATCAAGTATTACCCTCCGTAAGAATCGATTAGCAACTAGTTCAAAGCACATCACTCTGCTTCCTCTTTCATGCTCCTACACAACCGCAGTGCTATTAGTAATTAATTATCTGAATGCATATTAATAAGTAAAAGTGTGTAAGTATGCTTTTCTCTGGATCACTACATTCGCAATACAATATGTAATACTCAAAAGTCTGGAACTAATAGAATCACTCAAAGTAATCATATTTCTACAAATTAAACATCAAATCCAAAGCAGGGCATGCCCAGCATTTTGAGCTCACCTAAACAAGAGTTCCAAACAATTTCACATCCTTTAATGTCTAATTAGGTACCAATTTAAAAGGAAAAGAAAAATGACCACGTACATTCTGATTAATCAATCATGTTCTAATAGTTCATCATACACAAGTGCACGTATTCAGATCAATCATGCAATCTAACTGTATATTATAAATAGACACTTGGGAATACAAACATTCGTGCCTCAACGTAGAAAAAATGTTTGATTTAAGTCAACAAGTGGTTGGGATGCATTCAAAGCCAGCCCACATGCTTAACCTAGGTAGAAAGTTTTGAGGGCTAGAAAGTACCAGATGTTTCAATTGATTATGAAAGTTTTCCGAAACTCTTCTTTTCTAATATTTAATGCAATACCTACAACCCCACCATTTACTTCCAGAGGCATGGCCCTCGTGAAATTTCTTCAATCATTAAACAAATATTCTGATTTCCAATTTGTCACACGAACCTGGAATTTTCCAGAACTTCGGAAGGTTTTGACTTGAAAATGATGATTCTTATTTGGCTCGCAATACCATGTTTTTTTCCTTTTTCTTTCTGTCTAATCCTAGTTTCCTATATGTTTTGTCCATCTGAATTCCCATCTATATTATTGAGAAAGAGAGAGGCAATTCAGGTCAAAAAAATTGGCATCCGTTATTCCTATGAGTGAACTTGACTTTGGAAAGATATCATTAAGTCATCTCATAGTCTCATGTTTGTTTGCTAACATACGCGCACACATTTATATGTGGGTGCAGAAACTAAACAATTGATTTTCATCCTACAGCACAGATGAGAGCTTAAGGGATTTAAATTGAAGAGGAAAATATAAAATGAAGAAAAAGTTTCAAAAGACTAGTAACAACAATAAACACATACTGAACATGGTAATTTGGATTCTTTAGCTCGAGCATGGAAGACAAAACACTCTGTTGGAGGACCCCTGAAAAAACAAACAAATACCATTAGTACATGGAAGCGCAACTTCCCTCTGCTAAGGTAAGTCAGTGTTAAAAGGCATATTTCTTTGAGAGAAAATATTAAGGGGATATTCAGCTAGCGAAGATATCTTCGTATGTATCAAACTACAGTTGAGTCAAAAGAACCTAGACAGAAAGTGACAACAGCATTTGAACCTCTTCCATCACTACATTTCTGCATAAGATCAGTCATTCCAATGCACCTATATATCAGGTTGGGAAGTTGGATTCGGATGATTATAGAAGATATATCTACTCATGAGAATTATTATATGCATATAGTAATCTGCAGCGCAACCCAAGAAAAAAATATTTAGCATTCTCTAGGTACAGAAAGAAAGGAAAAAAGGATATTACCCGTCATTTAAAAGTAAATGTCTCTTTCTTTGCATTATGAATAAAATATTATGTTAGAGGAGAAAGAACACATGTGCAATATGCAGTCAATGAATTGAAAATATATGCACTCAATGAAGCAAATGAACTTAGGTTGTGCACTGGACATGTGGCATGAAAATAAAAAAAGGGAACGAACAACGTATTTTTGAATAACTACAGCTTACTAGTGCATGACGAGCACATGACGAGATGGGAGATTGACAATTAATATGGCTTGACCTTGAAGAAGTGAATGAAATGGTTACAAAATAAAATAAACTACGTGAACTGATAGAACAAGACCAAGATGATGCAAATTGGAATTACGAAGCAACAGTCAAAGCTATAATCTGAAAAAGAAAAACAAAGAAGATAAGCATCCAAGTATTAATTGCAAATAAAGCCTCAGTTCTTAATTTCTTACACATTTCTGGATGGTTTGGTATCACGTGCAAACATCTTATATGATAATAACTTTCCTTCTAGTTTCTGTAAAAGTTGGTTCACCCTGCTTAAGCTGAATTTCCGAGGTTTGTTCTCAATTCCGATGTCTTCATTATCATTGATAATTAAATTTCCAGCATTTGTCTCACTGCATTGATCACACCCATTTTCATTCTCATGACGATTTTGTGTACTCTTAAAGTTTTGAGCATTCCCTCCACTCTGATTACTTTGCTCCATGTCCTCCTCATCATTAAATGGAAATATATATACATAGCGTCTCCATTTGGCAGTAAAATTTGGATGGAAGGTCCGTGATACCTACACTAAGATTGACTAGCTCTCAGACTATTGAAATTAAAAGAAAACATAAACATGGGCAGCATGCACGGATGAAGACCAGACCAGCTATGATAACAAAGATCAACTTCAAGATGCAAAAATAATTGAAGTAACCAAAATATGATTAGTGAATTTAAATTTCAGCGTAGCAAGACAGTCAAATTTGAACAAAACATCACCTCTGTAACCGATACAACCCTGAGTTTTCCTGGTACTGCACTATTAATGGCATTTGTAATATCTTGAGATTTAACATCCTTATTCCAAGTATCTAAAAAGACAAATGAGTAATGTCAGTGAAATAGCAAACTCACAGATGTATGAGTTGGTAGAATAGAAAAAGCATTAAACATGATCACTTGAAACACTGGAGAAGACTATCCTGTATTAGAAACAGTGAAAAGTGCAATGCATGGCTTCAGGGAAAATGGAAGAAAATTATGAGCATGTATTATTGCAAATAATGTAAAACATAAATGAGTTATTTAATTGATGTGGACTCGTTTTCAAAAGATGCAAAACAATGGAAGCTCCTATTTAGAAAAGAATATTCCAGGAAAAAAGCATAAAGGGCAGTGCAATAGTTAACCTTACACATTCCTGGGTCATATCAGAATCAGGAAAGTACCAACTCTGTTTAAGCAAGGGAGCAGGTGGTTCGTTCTCATGCTTTTCTATATCATTTTGACAAGTAATTTCTTTTTCATACAACCGCGCCTAAGTAGACATTCTTTTAAAAAGTAAACTAAACCAAATTGGAAACAAATGAGGGTGTCACATACAAAAAGAACAAACTTGATGAAGGGCAGTCACTCCTTTGTCAGTGCGCCCAGCTACAACAGCAGCCGCTTCTAATGGTAAACCTTTATCTCTCAGCTGCTTGGCTTTCCTCTCATCAACAAATTTCCCCAGACATTTTTCCACCACACTGTCAAGTGGCAACACAATAGAAACCATCTTAAACATTTCATTACAGAACAAAACCAAAGTTAACTCGACTTGGGAACTTTTAAAATATATGAAACAAGATCACAGATTATCAAAGCTATGAAGAGCAGACATCTTAAATGTGTCAATTAAGAACAAAACCACAGTTAACTCAACTTGGGCATTTCTTAAATATACAAAACATCACAGATTATCAAAGCTGCCAATAGACAATATCTTGGGAAATTGGAAAAAATGATCAGAACCCAGTTGCTGAACTGATCAAATCAAATATCAAAGCTATTAGGTATCATACTAAAAAACCAATCATTTTAGCAATTCGGTTTTTAAAAAATGATCACTTTGGTCAATTTCCCAAACATCTTAAACACTTGAACAACCAACAAATTCACATTTAACACAACTTGGGCATTTCCAAAACAGATAAAAACACCACCACATATCATCAAAGCTACCACCTTTGAACAGTATTGAGTCCTGGCTGCTTCTGCCACCCATCAAACGAACCGCCATGGTACGAAACAACAATCTTGAATGTCAGTCGAGCCCACCTCCCACCCTTATCTTGAGAAGGTGGAACACTCTCCAGCCTATTGCATAAATTACTCCTAGTCAAACAAGCATTGCCCAACAAGGCGGACAGGGGCTTCCGGCCCGTGACCACGTAGGTGTAAAAATCGATGACCTGTTGCCATGGCCGGGCGGCCATGAACTGGAAGCTTTCTCTGCAAAAACCCAGTATTTAACAAACAAATTATTGAAATTTGAGGACACAAGTGAAGAGAAAGAAGGGAGGGCAAAGAGATGGAGGTGATTACTTGGTAGTCCAGCGTGCAAATGCGCAGGGATCGGTGTGGTTGTAGTGAACCAAAACCTTCTTCTCCATTTGAATTTTTTGCGGTTTTGTCTCTCTGCTTCAGTAGCCGCCAGCGATTGCGAGAGAGGCAATTCTCAATTTCTGCCCGATAAAATATGCTTCCGTCCACTGTACTGGGGACGAGTATTTATCAAATATAGTCAAATATTAATTCTTAATTTTAAAAATGTCAGTTTTTATAATAACTTTCAAATATATTTAAAATATTACTTAAATAGACACAAATACCTTTAAATTTTAAAATCAAATAAATTAAAAGAAACAAAACCCTATTAGATTGATATTTTGGTCGGCAAAACCTAGAAAATGGTGGAGAGATAGTGAAGGCATCGGCTATTGTGGATATTTTGTGCAACCCTAAACGTATAAAGGTGAGTGCAGATGATTAATTTTTTCACTCTTCCTAGTCTATGTTTTATCTTTGCTTTTGTAGTTTCTTCCTTCGGTTGAATTTTATTGAAGAACGAACTATCAATTGTTGTAAAGTTTACGCAATAGAAATTCTTTAGCACATATTAGAAAAATTAGGTTTCTTATGTCAATGGAAGATTGACAAATCTAACAGCATTTGCCAATCAGTTAGAGGCAAAGCTAATTGTTCTTCAGTGCATATTTGAAAAATTAGGGTTTACGGAATAAAGTTTTTCTTTCTGTGTTTTTATTCATCTTATGTTGGTTTGGTAAGCAATGTTAATTTAATTTTTTTCAATGCGTAAAAGTAATTGGAAGTTAACTTCAAGAATAGCACCTTAATCAACAAGGTTCGTCTTCCATTGCTGAAATGCATGATGTTTTGCGTAGATATTAACGCTATATATATTAACGCCCAACCTTTCTCATGATTCAGTCCAGTTTTCACAACACTTTTTTTATTTTCACATATATATTGATCTTAGTTGTGTCTGTACGTCACTTTTCTTTTTTTTATTGTTTTGCTTATATTCATGACAATGTCTAGTTTGACAATTTTAGTGAACTATGGTGGGAACTGGGAGGTGGGCCGACTCAATGTACAAAAATTACAAAATGAAAGGGTGACTTATTTCAGACAAAATTACATTTGCAGAGCTTCAGAAGAAAGTACATAGTATTGTGAATGTGGACCCAAATGAGTATGAGATAAGTATGAAAGTCATATATAACGCAGTGGGGCATTTTTTTTTTTTAAACCTTTCGAGGTCTTGGAAGATTCCCTTGTGTGTTACATTAAAGCAGAAAGTATTTTCTTCGGAAGATAATGATGACCCATTACAAACAGGTCTTAACTTTTTTACTCAAGGTGATTTGGTTCGGAATATTTTTTTTGGTTGTTTAGTTCTTCTTTTGTTTGAGTAATATATATATATATATATATGTATGTATGTGTATGTGTATATATATATATATGTATATATATATGTATGTATATATATATGTATGTGTATATATATATGTATGTATGTGAACATGTAGGTATCGCCCATTGCAACTTACTCATTTCATGTATATGATGGATCTTGTATTGAAGTTGTGAATTTAGAGGAAAAGGGTTGCACATGCCGACAATTTGATCTTGACCAACTCCCTTACTCACATGCTTGTGTTGCATGTAGACACCGACAGCTTTCATGTTATCCTATGTATTCTCATTATTATACTACAAATTTCTTGGTCATTGCCTATGCAAAAGCTATATGGCCACTTGGTGATCAAACCGATTGGATAGTAACTGATGATGTGCGTGAAAGAATTGTCCTACCACCAATTACACGAAGAAGATATGGCAGGCACAAAGAATATTGGATCCCATTACATGAGAAGAAAAATCAACTTGCAGGAATCCCGTTCAACTTCATCCTACTTTGTAGAACCCTTTTAAATTGGAGTTTTATGAATACAATTTTCTTTCTATCATTTTATTGTTTGGGCCAAGAAATTGGGGTGTAACGAATAAATACTTTCTTTTGATCATTTTATTGTTTATTTTGGTTGTATGTATAATTCTTTACATTTCCGACAATTAAAAGATAATTACTTTTATTTCTTTACTTTGATAGTTCACTTTTATAACATACTAAAGTGTTTTCAGTGAACCATGTGAGAAAGAAAGGTTTCCTTGATTATTTATTAAAATAAAATTGAGAAAAAGCTTTTGCTCTTCGTTTGGAAAAGAAAAGAAGAATAAAAGGAGAGCAGAAAGTTTTAGTTAGAGATTATAGCACAAGAAGTTTTAAGTCTAACAATTAGTTATTCATATAAATTGAGGGTAGTTATGTCTATTTAAGTGAGATTTTGAATATATATGAAAAAAAAATTGACATTTTTGAAATTAAAGGTTAATTTTTTGCTATATTTGATAAATTCTCCCTGGGGAGTCCTACTTTGCTTTAGAGCTCCTTTAATAAGGAAGACTGAATGACAACAAAAAGTCAAAACCGAAACCAAAAACTACTTATATAGCTTTTGGTGCCGGATGCTTTTTTTCTTTTCGACTGAGTTTAAAGCTCTGACATAGTTTTTATCGATGGTCATGTATGCACTGCTATCTTTCTATTTGTACACTCCATTATGTATAATGAATATCGTACATTTTCCTTAAGAAATAGTTTTTTATTTAGTTTTCATTTTGTATGCACAAACTCCATGCACTCTTTTGCATTCCCCTTATTTCAATCATAAAAGAGACAAATAAAAACTGAAATAGTTATTGTCACTTAGTACTACAGTCTAGTGATATTGCTCTTCACTTGTAAGTGAAAAGTCTTAGGTTCGATTCTCACCAAAGGCAAATTCGAATCATATTATTATTAGCCCATTGTGAGGCTAAGTCCACATCCACCCCTTAGTGTATATAATATCATTTGTTCCAAAAAAAATAATAATAATAAAATAAAATATTTTTCAATAGAAACCACTTTTTTACTTAGAGGCACATGGACCCTTGTGGCCACTTTAATAAGTATCAATTCCAATAGTTGAAATTTTTTTTTCATACAAACGATGTTACTACTTTAATTTATATTAAAAAAAAAGTGGAATATAGAAAGCTTGAATCCAGTAGGCAATAAATAAGGACAAGGCCCTAACCACCCGCATGCAGAGCAGAGGAAGTTTCTAGAGGTAAAATAAGATATCTGAAAAGTATTTCTGCTGGTTGCAAGTTGCTAGGTTTGTGTTTTGCTTTTTTGTTTGTTCGTTTGTTTTTTTTTTTTTTTTTTTTTTTTTTTTTTTGTGTGCGCGCGCTTTACGCTCTATTTTGTTTTGTTTTAAGGGTTTATTTCTTCGTGTTGTGCTTATTTTGTGATTGAGTCTCTACTTGTGTATATTTGTTCTGTAAGAAAATTATAATAATGGTCTCTCAACTTTAACGAAATTAGAACAATAATTTGTCAACTGAAAGAGGGAAATGATCCCTCAACTTTAATCTAATTGGAGAAATGATTTCTCAACTTTAACAACTGTAGCAATGGTTCTTCCACCATGACTTATTTTGATAGAGATTATGACGAAGTTGATGAATAGGACCATGACTGCATATTTTGATAAGTTAAGAGACCAATGATCACAAATTTTTAGTTGAGAGATCAATGCTTAAAGGGACCATTACTGCAATTTTCTCTTATTTTGTTAGTAATAAATTTTAAGAGAGTAATTGGCTAAAGTTAAAGTTCAAGGAGAAAATTGACCAATAATAAAAGTTCAAAGGTAATCAGCTAAAATTAAAATTCAAGAAAAAATTAACAACTCTATACAAATTCTGTTAGAATCAATCAAATATCAATTATATAATATGTAATAATTGTACAGATTATTTCAAATTATAATTTCACTATATATATTCAATATATTAGAATATGAATACTAAATAAAATTGTATATAAATTCACAACAAAAATCACTAACTTGATTTTGGAAGATAAAGGCTTGCAGTAGCAATCTCCTAAGACATAAGTACACCCCTGCACCAATGAAGTAGTTCAAAGACGTCTATCTTGCAGGATACAACTATCTAATCCAAGTTCTTGCACTCGAACTTGGATTCTTGGCGAATCTACTATGTGTTTCTCTATGAAAGCGCAAAATGGAAAAGCGATTGAAATTGTGTGGTTTTTTGTTTCTGATATCACAGCCATTTATAATGGCATTTTTGCAACAGTTGTGGCCGTTCAATATTGTGATAGCCCGTCCCGAAATATATTTTCGATAGCGTGAAATGACTTTTATACCCTTGGACGTTAAATGGTGTTGTGTGACATGCACTTTGGTTGTGGACCAAATATGTTAAGTCCTAATTATTTGGACCCAATTAGAACTAAGTTTTTCCTTGTTTCCAATGAGGAGTACTATTCACCCGTTGTGATTGCGTTGGTTTCAGTAGTTTTAAGACTTAGAAAGGTTTTATTCTTGCTTTTCTAGCACGTTGGATTAATTTTGGAGTGGTTTTGACATAAGAACACTCGGGTTTATATAGTTGCAAGGTTTGGCCGATTTCCTCAATTTTTCCGGCGAGATTCCGTTGGTTTTAGGACCCCCAAAGTGGTAAGATTGTGTTCTTCTCATCCTAAGCTTCATTTTGGTGAAAATTTCATGAATTTTGGTGAAAATTTCATGAATTTTGGTTGAGAAATGAAGAAGATTCATGGGTTAGGTCTCCACCAATAGAGGGCATAGGGGAAGAAGCACTACTCCTAGGAATCAACACACGAAAACTTTGTTATAAATTATCCCTTTTCCTTATCAGGGTCGGGACTAACAAGAATGGTTGGGACAACAAACATCCATCTCGTTCGTTTTTTGGATACCCGTGTAACCATCGAAGACTATTGAAGTGACTAATTCGTGCAAATTAAAGGGCGTTGAAGACAAAGAAATTGTTGGAGTAACTTTTTATCTAATACCAACATGCTTGATGTTAAGTAAAGATCTTTTACAAGAAGGTTGGCTAGAGATTTCTTGTAAAAACACCAGCCCCGCTTAGTTTATAATGAGAATATTTCAATCTTTTTTGATTCCACGTATTCTTATCATTATGCACATAAAGAAGGAGCCGTATGAGATGAAAATCTCATGTACGGTTTTGAAACAGAGATTTTTTGAGTCAAATGACGACCATAACGGATG